AACAACAACAAGAAGCAGTCCCAAAACACAGCTTTGCGATCGAATCGTGTCTCTCTTGTAAAACACTTACTAATCGGATGCGGGATGACAAAGTTGGCAATATTTGTAGTCATGATAGTTGTTATTGTTGTTGGGGATTTTTGTAATTCAGCGGACTCACGATCATCGATTGTCAGTTGGAATTGGAAAAGAAGAAAATAAAAGATTTTTTCAAAGGATCAAAATCATGCCAAACAGTTCAATGAATGGAGAACTTGGAGTTTTATGAAAATCCCGTTTCGATTTGTTGGCGGAAGCTTCGTTTGGGTTAACGGTTTTCCAATTGTTAAAATAAATTCATGGAAATTTGTTGTTGTTGTTGTTGCCAGGAAAAATTGGTAGCTGTAATGAAGTTGCAGGACCCACAAAATACAAATGACTTTGCAACACCTTTTTGGAGTAGCTGTGACTAGCTGCTGTCTGGCGGCCAGAGATGGTATTTGGGGGGAAGAAAAGGGTTGTAAAAACCGGGGTAATAAGTATTTCTATAAAGCCAGATAGAATCTGAATGCTGGGTGGGGAAATACAAATACTGAAATTTTCGATGTTTTATACCGGATTGTCAAAAATGTCGTAAATTGTCAAAAAGGTAAAGGTTCTCTGATACTCCTGGCCATTTTGGCTTGACTTCGTCAAATTATCTTGGACTTAATAAATTCCTAAAAAAATCTCCAGTTGCTGTTTTTTCTTGCAGCTTCCATGTCGAACAATGACAACGATAATGTGGCTGGTAATAATAATGATGATGATGCCCCTGCTGATGCTGCTGCTGGTGGTGGTAAGCAAATGCTGATGATTATTATTTGCCTTTTTATTATAACGTTCGCTGCTTCTGCAACCCTGTTTGGTAATTTAATATTTCGTTTTGTTTTCAGCATTTCCAGTTTACCTTTAGTTGGTCTTAACACATAGTCAGCCACACAGACAGTTAGCCAGTCAGTGAGTGCCTCATGCCGTCGAACAATCATTTCTGTGTCATTCCCTAGTTTTGTCACAAGTTTTGCTGCTGTAACCCTCCAAAAAAGAGGAAAAAAATAGCCAACCGTTACAAATTCACTTTTCGTTCCATTAACCTATTCACAGCAACATCAGGTAAAGAGGTGGTCCATTCATGGATGCCAGACTGCTTACCTGTCGCCTCCTTCTCCTCCTCCTAGCTTGTCCGTCCGTCCCCATGAAATACACAACAAAATGTTTTGTTTAGTGGTTTCCTCACCTTCTCAGCCGGCTCCGGCTCCGACTTTGCCTGCTGCTGTTTTTGATTTGCCCAGAGAGATGAGTTTTGTGTAAATGTTACGTTTTCTATGGGGCATTGTAATTCACTCAACTTCAGCAGTCAGGCTGCCAGCCATCCAGGCAGCCCGGCAGTGATGGAGAGTCAGTCAAACATAGCAAAACACAATAGCTGTTGTTGGGTTACTGACTTCCAGAGTCCCAATGTAGCTATTTGCCCATCATTATGGTCAGGTTATTAATATTTATGTGAGGGGAAATGGTAATGGTCAAAAAGAGAAAGAGGAAAGAACAATGGAAGGGGAAGAAGTTCTGGAAAAAATGGAGAATTCTCGGAGATACTTTAGAAAAATGGGAGAGATTGAGGACTGAAGGCCCAGAGAGTCGATATGGATTAGCTGGAGTTCAAGGGAGTCTTTATTGACGAGAGAGTTCTTCAAGAGAAAAACTGGAGAGTTCTCCAAGAGACTTTGGAAAAATGGGAGAGATTGGGGACTGAAAGCCCGGAGAGTCGATATGGATTAGCTGGACTTCAAGGGAGTCATTATTGACGAGAGAGTTCTTCAAGAGAAAAAACTGAGATTTCTCCAAGAGACTTTTGAAAAATGGGAGAGATTTGGGACTGAGGTGTCAGAGTCGATATGGATTAGCTGGACTTCAAGGGAGTTATTATTGACGAGAGAGTTCTTCAAGAGAAAAAAATGGAGAGTTCTCCAAGAGATTTTTGAAAAATGGGAGGGATTGGGGACTGAAGGTTCAGAGAGTCGATATGGATTAGCTGGGCTTCAAGGGAGTCTTTATTGACGAGAGAGTTCTCCAAGAGACTTTGAGAAAGTGGGAGGGATTTTGGGCCAAAGGGCCAGCTGGAAGATATAGAGGAGCTCAGAAAGTCAGGAATTGTCCATAGACGAGATGGAGGTCAAAGGGTTCTGTTAGACGATCTAATAGCTCTGGATATCTTGTAGACATGCTGAAAGCTCTGGCGAAATTATGGACGAGCTGAAAGCTGTGGAAGATCTATAGGCAAACTAAAGGCTCAGGGAGTCTTTATAGACGGTAGAGCTTCTACTTCATCTCAACTCGTCTAAAATTCCCCACAGCTCGCCTATGGAACTCCCATAACTTTTATAGGGCTCTAGGGCTTTCAGCTCGTCTATAAGACCACCAGAACTAACATCTCGTCCTAGAGTCACCCTGAGTCTTTTGTTCGCCTAAAAACGCGTAGAGCTTTTACCTCATCTCTAAAAAGCCTAGGACTTTCAGCTCGTCTAAAATTCTCCCACAGCTCGCCTATAAAAAACCCACGAGCTTGCAGCTCGTCCTATAGACACCCTGAGGCTTCAGATCGTCTTTGAGACTCCCAGAGATTTCAGATCGTCAATGAAACTCCCAAAGCTTTCTGTTAGTTTAAATGACTTTCTAACGCTCCAGTTTGTCAATAGGACTGCTGAAGCTTTCAGATTTACTCCCTGATGTTCCAGAGCTATCCTTAAGAAACGTGCTGTGGGGCTAGTGGCTCTATAGAGTAGAGTAGGGAGACTTTTGAGGCGATCTGAAGGGTAATCGAGTTTCTAGAAAGTTGGTATGGGCAATTGAATCTCCTCAAATGAGCTGAAGGCCCTTCGAATCTCAAGAAGGGTTGTCGAAGCTCTATAGTAGACCTGAAGGATCCTCGAGCCCCTAGAGCTGAGCTGAAGGACTCCCGAGTATCTAGAGACGAACTGAAGACCCTTGGGTCTCTAGGGACAAGCTAAGGCCCTCGAGTTCCTAGAGACGAGATGATGGCCCATCGTTTCCCACAGTAGAGCTGAAGGCCCTCGAAGCTCTAGAGACGAACTAAACACTCTCGAGGCTCTACGGACAAGCTAAAAACTCTCGAAATCCAAGAGGCTATGTGATGGACCATAAAGTCTTTAGAAGCGAGCTGAATTACCATAGAGCCCCTAAAGGCTAACTGAAGGTCAATCGAGTCCTTAGAGACGATCTTATGGATCATCGACTTTCCAGAGAAGAGTTAAAGGAACAATGAATCGCTAGAGGCGAGCTGGTGATCCTCGAGTCTCTAGTGAAGAACTGAAGACCCTGGGAGAGGGTGGAGATTCTCGAGTCTCTAGAGACGAACTGAAAAACATCAAAGCTCTGAAGTCCGATCGAGTCTCTAGAGGCGAGCTGAAGGCTCATCGATTCTGTAGTGGCGAGCTGAAGGGTCATCAAGTCTCCAGAGGCGATCTGAAGGCTCATCGAATCTCTAGAGGCGAGCTGATGGGCCATCGAGTCTTTAAAGGCGAACTGAAGATCCTCGAATCTCTAGAGGCGAGTAGAAGACTCAGTGAGTCTCTAGAGCCGATCTGAAGGCTCAGCGAGTCTCTAGAGGCGAGTTGAAGGCTCAGCGAGTCTCTAGAGGCGAGTTGAAGGCTCAGCGAGTCTCTAGAGGCGAGTTGAAGGCTCAGCGAGTCTACAGAGGCGAGTTGAAGGACCCTCGGTACTCATTGTCGATTTCCTTATCCTTTAAATCTGTCTGTTAAGACTTCCTGGTCTTCTAATTCGTCAAATGGTTATCTAGCTCATCTTCAGAGACTTTATAGCCCACTTGAGGGACTGCCTGACCCATTCTAATTTATGGCGACTTATTTTCCCTTGGCTCGTCTATGGAGATGTTTGAAACCCCGTCTCATCCATGGAGACATTCTAGTACTCCAGCTTGTCATTTTCTTGTCCTTTAGCTCGTCCTTGGAGACTTTCTGGATTTCCATGCCCTTTATGGAGATTCCTTGCCCCTTCAACTCAGTTCTGGCTCTCTATGAAGAAATTCTGCTATAGTGCTTTCAAAATCATTCCTTCCCCAAGACAGCTTTCCAAAGTTCATGTATATCATCCCCATATCATCCAACGAGTCGAATCTGAATCTCTCCTCCTTCAGCTCCTCTCCCAAATTATACAACAAATAAAATTCGTTGCAACTGAACTTCTCAGAACTTCATGCCTTGCCATAAAAAAACAAGCAAACAAATAGGTTACCAGTAGTACCTGCAAGTCAGTCATTCAATAGCGACTGTCAGTGAGCCAGTCACTCAGACAGCCAGTCCGTCACTCAACTATTCATTTGGACAGGCCATAACCATTGTAATACCAACTATTTCACTCAACAACAACACTTTTGTATGTTTCGCTCCGGTGGTGGTGATGATGGTGGTTATGTCGATTTGGCCATATCGGTTGGTAGGTTGGTTGGTCGGTCTCGAACTGGGAGATGGTTTGAATGGGTGTTGAACATGCTGTTCATCTTCACCATAGTTTTTGGAAGTATTGTTCCTGAGTTGTTTTGGAAAAATAACAACATTTTATTGTTGTTGCAAAAATGCATTTTTGATTTTTTTTTTAAGGAAAAGCAGAAGCCAAACATTTAAGTCAAATATGGCGGGATCCAAATGTTTCTTTATTTTTTCCATTTTCTTTTTTTTTTTTTTGAGATTTTATGAGGAAGAAGTCTAATATTGATTTATGTTCATTGAGTGCTAAGTAACATTCACGAAGTGCCCAGAAAGAAAAAGAAAGAGTAACGATGGCACGAGTTTCGAAAATGTCATAAATTAAAATAAAATTTAGGCTAGAGAGGGAGGGACAAAAGGGGATGAGATTTGTGAATATCAAACTTAAATTATTGTTTTTTTGATTTTTAATTTTTTTTTAAATAATTTTTATTTTTTTAATCTTTTTGGTCTACTTACGAATGGCTTTTGTGGTCCAGGATAATCATAGCCATTTTGTTTAGGCGGTAAATATTGATTTGAACCGGGTGCTATTTGGGCATAAACGCAGGCTAGACCAAGAACGCATATACTCTGAAAGAGAGAGAGAGAGATAGAAAGAGAAAAATTAATAAAAAATGTTAATAAAAAGAGAGGACTTGTAGAATATCCTGCCTAGAGTTTATATAGTTAGGAAAAAAAACCTTTGATAAACATTTCCTGACTTCTGCTGCTCCCTAAAGACTTTCGGACACTATAGTTACTCTATAAAGGCTTCCTGAGCATTATGTTGCCTATAAAGGCAACAGAGTGTCTTTAAGAGAAGTCAAAAAGACGATTATAGATAGCATGACGGTACTAAGACTTTAATAAACAAAGAGTTCGGCCCTTAGACATTCTGGTACTTTTTTTTTAAATTCCCTGATCTTCCTCCGGTCTCTATATCTCGATGACCATTTACTCGCCTGTAGAGACTCAAAATGCCTTCAGCTTACCTCTAGAGGGCCTTCAACTCGCCCCCAGAGACTCGACGGGTCCTCAGTTCATTTATAGTGACTGGCTGGCCATCAGCTGGTCTGTGTTGACTCGTTGGCCATCCAGCTTGCATCCAGAGACTCGATAGGCCTTCAGCTCGCCCACAGAGACTCGATTGGTCCCCAGTTCATTTATGGTGACTGGCTGGCCTTCAGCTGGTCTGTGGTGACTCGCTGGCCATCCAAATTGACTCTAGAGACTCGATAGGCCTACAGCTTCCCTCTAGAGACTCGATGAGTCCCCAGTTCATTAATGGTGAGTGACTGGCCATCAGCTGGTCTGGTCTGTAGTGACTCGATGACCATTCAGATATGCACATAAACCCAGCTTGCTTCTAGCGATTCGATGACTCTTCAGCACGTCCATAGAGACTTCATCAGGAAATGGTTTCAGTTCGCCTCTAGAGACACAAAAGGGCTTCAGCTCGACCACAGAGCCTTGCTAGTCAACAGCTCGCCTCTGAAGCCATTAAACTCGCCCTTGGGCCTCCTTGGTCTTCAGCTCGTCTCTAAAGACACGAAAGCGCTTCAGCTCGTCCATAGAGCTTTGCTGGTCAACAGCTCGCCTCTAGGGACTCTAAGTGCCTTCATCTAGTCCAAAGAGACGGGAAGACTCTTCGATTCCTCTACAGAAAGTCGATGGTTGCTTGAGCTTGCCTATTGATGCTCGAACAGCTTTCGACTTACCTCCAAGGACTCGATAGGCTTTCAGCTTGATCTGCCCCTCAACGCGTCTATAGACTCCTTCAGCTCTTCTCTAAAGCCTCCAAATCTCGTCTCTTGGCACACGAAAGGCCTTTAATTCGTCTCCGGAGACTCAGTGATGGTTCAGCTCGTCTCTAGAGGATCGAGACGTCTTAAGGACCAGAAATTCCATGAACCTCAAACTCGTCTATAGAGACTCGATGAATCTTTAGCTTGCCTCGTGATGCTGGAGCATCCTAAGGACCTCCAAATCTTCATTAGAGACTACCAGCCTCTTTATCTCTTCTGTTTGAAATTCCTGAACTTCAGATCGTCTAAAGAGAGCCGATAATGCTTCAGCAGTTTGTAGAGACCCGATTGCCCTTCAGATCGTTTAACTGAGTTACATGGCTTTAAGATCGTCGATATGGAGTCGCTGTTCCATTTCTTTGTTTATCTAGACTTCGTGGACTTTCCGATCGATGGACTTTGAGTTCGACTATAGAAACTTTTTACCTTTAACACGCCTTTAGACTCCTTGGTCTTTCAGTCCGCCTCCAGGGACTAAATGGCCTCCAAGGACTAAATGGTCTTCAGCTCGCCTCTTTAGATTTGTAGGTACTTCTGATAACCCCTAGATAATCGATGGACCTTCAACTCGTCTATCGAGACTTAAAGGGTCTCAGTTCGCCTATCCGTACTGTTTTGGCCTTAGTTTATTTCACGAGTCTCACAGCTCGTCGTAAATGTTTCGAACACCCTCCAGCTCATCTTCCGAACTTCATATCATCTATTTCGACATCCTGAGCTTCAGCTTATCTAAAGAGACTCTAAAGACCTCAGCTCTCCTCCAGAGACTTGATGGACATTCAGCTGGCTTTTAGAGACCCGAATGCCATTCAGCTCTTTTATGGAGGCTCTGAGACCATTTACTTAGCTATATAGACTTAAAGGCCATTCAACTTGACAATGGAGACTCCCTGACCTCCAGATCATCTATGCAGATCCCTTGATCCTTTAACTCGCCTGTAGAGGCCCGATGAACCTTTAAGTTCGTTAGTAGAGACTTTATGGTTTTCCAACCCTTTTCTAAAGATTATATTTCCTCCAGCTCTTCGATATAGGAACCTCATCCCTTTAGCTCTTGTATAAATAGGTTAAGCAAATTTCCCTGTCCTCCCTCTTTGTAGTCTGGCCAACAACAATTTAGGCTTTAAATTTCACCCCATCATTGATTGATGAGCTTTATATTGGAAAACGTTTTGGATTGACAATTTTGAATAAAATTTTGAAAAAAAATGCCAATTAAAAAATGCCTAAACCTGATGGCCTCTCAAACTACGGCTGATGGATGGAATGAATTAAAACGAATTCGATATTCGACAGATTCATCATTACACCGGAGTAGGCGATGATATGCAATAAAAAGCATTTTGGATTTTTTTCCAATATTTTTTCGTTTCGTTTTTTTGCTGTCGCTGGCCTGCCAATTGACTTCCATTTAACATTCTTTAACAGCGTCGCTTGATTTGCTGTGTTCTCAATCTAAATTATTGCCATTTACAAATGCCCTTTAAAAGCTGAGCGTTTTTTCGTTTTTTTCTGCTTTGTTTATTCGTGAATTTGTATTGAATTTCAGTTGTTTTAGTTTTGGCCAACAACAAAAGAGCAGATTCACAGACAAAAACACAACAACAAAAACTGAATCAGACAAAAATTCTAATAAAAGCTTGCACCTGCAAGCGTTTCTAGTTGGTCACATAAATGTTTCATCCTTCCGTCCCCCAGCCTCTCCCTCTCTTTCTCTCTCTCTCTCACTCTTTGGCTCTCTGTCTCCCCTGGCTGTCTGCAGTGTTTTGCCGTTGTTCGATATTGTTTAGCATTGTAAATAGTTGAGCTCATTGTTTTTGTTGTTGCTGTTGTTATTTAGTTTAGTTAGACCAAGAACAAGCAGTCAAACAGACAACCAGCCATCCAACCAAACATCCAACCATCGAACCAACGGCAGCATCCGATCTAAAGCCCCAGCCAAAATAAAAACCATTTAGTTTTTAATGTCAATTGTGATTTTAATCATTTTTTGCCGAGTTCTGTTTGTTGTTGTTGTTGTTTGGTATTTGTTATTATTTGGCAAAATTTTAATGTTAGCGTCGATTGTTTCTGGAGGACTTTTTATGGAAGTTTTGTTGCTATTTTTTTGTTAGTTTGATTGGTGGGAACAATAGCGCAAGGTGCCAAAAGATAAAGTTTATTTTTCAGATTTCTTTTTTTTTTTTTTGGATGTCAACAATTTGCGGATTTTTATTGACTTTTTCCTGAAGCAAAAAAAAAAAAAAACAATCTCCTGAAAAGTGAATTTTGTGGTGAAAAGGTTATTTTTGATTATTATTTTGCTGTAAATTAAAGTTTAAATATTTCAGCAAAAATATGCAACGATTTTAAAGATTTGAGAATGTTTTCAAAAATGCAACAAGTTGCAGCTCCATAGACTCTACATAGAAAATCTGAGGGGCCTAGAAGTCCCTATATATGAAAAAACGATCCTCAATCGATATGGACAAACCGAAAACTCCAGCATTTCCTTCAGATGAGCTGAAGACCTATAAGTCTCTATATCCTAACTGAAGGGCAATTAAGTCTCAAAGGGAAGAACCAGGCATTCCCTATAGATGAGCTAAAGGCACTAGAAGTCTTTATGGGGGAGCTGAGGGCCAGAAAGTCTCTAATGGCCCATCGAGTCTTTAGAGAAAATTTAAAGCGATTTTCTATAACCTAGCGAAGGCCAATCAAGTCTCAAGGGGAAGGGCCAGGCATTCCCTATAGACGAGCTGATGGCTCTAGGAGTCTTAATGGCGGAGCCGAGGGCCAGGAAGTCTATATAGAGCAGCTAATGGTTATTAAGTCTTGCAGAGAAAATGTTAAGGGATTTATCGGGCTCTATAGTCAAGCTGAAGGGATATCATGCCGTCAAGCTTCACGACCACCGGGTTTCTATAGGCCAAAGAAATGGTCGTATAATCCCCATAGACGAATTTGGAGGAGACGAACTACTGAGACGGAGATGAGCTGCAGTCAGTCTAAATAGACGATCTGAAATGAGTCTCTCTAGACGAGCTTAAGGGAGTTTATCTCTAGAGGAGCTGCAGAGAGTCTCTCTAGACGAACTGAAGAGAGTTTTTCTCTCTAGATGAGCTGGAGAGTCTCTTTCTCTCTCTCTCTCTCTCTCTCTCTCGGGAGAGAGTCTCTCTCCAGACGAGCTGGAGAGGGTCACTTTTAGACGAGCTACAGGGAGTCTGTCTAGACGAGCTGAAGTTCAAATAGACGAACTAAATGGAGACTCTATGAAGAAAGTCGTTATAGACCAGAAGATGGAGTTTCTATAAAAGATTTCACCGGCTTGGCGTTCTATATAGACGAGATGAATGCTCTATGATGCTATTTAGATTTACTGAATGTCATGGCTCTCTGTCCCATAGGCAAGGGAAAGAGCCGGGAAGTCTTAATATATGATCCAGATAGCCTTAAATAGCGAGTTGAAGGACCAAAGAGTCTTTTATAAATGAGCTAAAGAAGCGAGGTATGAGCATTGTCGTTACGCATACGACACATGGGTCGTTAACGAAATATTGTTATTCTGCTGGAATAAATTCAAAATCTCGGTTATATGGATTGTGAATTTTTATTTAAAATTCAAAATGGGAAAATGAAAGGAGAACTTTTGTTTACATTCTTTAAAAATAAATTAATTTAAATAACAGACTGTTATGATGCACATATTTTGGTTACGTCCCTTCAAATGTTGTCTTTATCAAATGTTGACCAAGAAATTACCTTCAAAACCTTCCTACCTTCATTTTAAGAAATTGTATTTTTTTT